CGCCCCGTCCCCGTTTCCTCTTCGATGACTCATGTGCCACGCTCTGACGTATACGCGCTCCAACTCCAACCGCCACCGTCGCTTTAAGAAACCGTCGAGGCCTCTTTATCGCGTGAATCTGCAGGACATATGGATACGTTGCTACGTGAAAATGTTGCAATTTTATTCGATCAAAAAGGGACGTGTATAATTCCTTCGTCCAATTAAATCTTCTGGAACCGATCAGTTTGCATGTTGATTTTTGAAAGCGTACCCCGCGTTTCGTGTTTCGCTGTTCCGATCTTCGCCGCAGCATTCGCGTTCAAGGGAAATCGCAATGACGTCGGCGAATGACGCTAGTCGCTAATGGTCTTTCAACATATGTAGATCGATCTGTGTAATTTTGTTTTCGTTAACGAGCGTTCTTATCGAGGATCAGCGTGTACGCAACGCGTGCGCGAAACGTTCGTTTTGTTTGTTAATTTTGCAACGCTGGGTTACATGGAAATAAACGTCTCGTGCAATTATTTTCACCATCGATTTCTTGTTTTGCCGTGCGCCACGGTACGCCGGTCTCTGACGAAAAAAAAGGACAAGACAACGGTATACGGGTGGTCGAACCAGCTATTTGTAATCATCGTAGTGAAACAAACGGAAACAAGTAAAATACCAAGCGATCTAAGGACTTTCACGGTCGTACTACCATCGAACAAAATGAACGCGCTCGTACCTCGCGATTAATCGTTAATCTAATCGAACGGCAATGCGCGAAAGGTCGAAAGTCTCCTGTTTTTACATCAAATTCATGCAAATCGTTTTTCCATGAAAATGTCGAACAAGAACGCATGCGATGAGTAAAACAATACTCCATCGAGGACGCTTTATCGGACTTGAACTTTGTAGTTTCTGAAACGGACGTTTTACTCGTTTATGCCGTCGAAACGATTTAGCGTTTATTTGATCGAAGGACACGGGACTCGAAGAACCAAGCGTGTGCCGGAAAGGATGATATCTTTATGACTACTTCGTTCGAATGACGGAGTATTAATAACGCGGCGGTGGTCTTTTCGTAAATTACAAAAATAGCTACCCGCTTTACGAATTGCCGATCCGATCATGTCCGGAAGCTACGCCCATTCCTTGAAACTCGTCTCGAGTACTTTTTAGAGAAATGAAACAGTCGTCCCTGATCTATGGGGCGATAGTCAGTCTAGTCGATAGGTTCGCAAAAGTAGGCGAAAAGTAGTTTGAAATTTCGGCCTCTAGATTAGAAGATAATCCGTTTGCGCCCGAGCCAACTGAAACCGGATCTTTCTACGTCAGACCCGGCCAGTCTAAAGATACAGTCGCTCTTTTTCTCGTATAGTACGAAACGCGATCTCGCATCGCGCTTAGAAGAATCGCACGATCGAATCGACCGAGCCGGAGGGTTGTTTCCACGGGAAATTCGTGAGAAAATTTTTTCAAACGGAACGGAAGATTCGCTGATTCGAGCGTGGCTAAGCGAAACGTTTACGATCCTATTAGAGTCTGGCTTGTTCTAATCGCGTACCTGGCGACGCATGACGTCATTGGCCATTAAAGGATAGCAGTTCTCTCGGGCGGGACTCTGAATTTTCCAATCGGAACGTGAAAATCCAACTCGTCTATAATACGTTCGCGGTATACTGCGCTAGAGGCGCAACGTCGTCGAGGTCTCGGAGCGAATTGGGTCCACGGCACCGACCCAGAGGAGGGTGCAATAAAGAGAGCCAGGCCGTACGTACGACGGTTTACGCCCCTCCCTCGATCCCGCTTCGCCACATCGTATCGCACCCCACTCTAACCATCGTGCTTCTGCACCCTACTTTGAAAATCCCTCAACGGTTTCACAGCAAGTGCCTTCGAAAATGGACAAAGAGAAAGAGAGGTTTGGAAGCCTGCAGGCACCCGTTTTTCGTACGAAAATTCACGCGCTCCTGTCTGACCTGAAAACGCAATAAATAGCGTTCGTCCCGTTATTCTCCTTTCTCGGCCGGCTCCGGCAGTATATATACCGACAACGTCCATCCGCTTTCCGAGAAAAGTTGCACCGTTCTTCCATTATTGTACAGAGAAAATTATACGACACGCCGTATTATCGAGTAGAGAAAATTATTTGTCAGATTTTTAAGTTACAAATTAAACGACCCTTTACTTATCAGCTTTACTTTACGATGTGATTTCGACGATTGTCTCTCAGTAACTAAACTGTCCCTTTTTTCTCGTCATTCTCCTTGGCTTCACAGATTAGAAAAAATGTTCCTATCCTTTTAATGGGCTGCACTTGAATTTTTACATCACATCGGCCTATTCCAACGTTACCGTTTTCAATGACGGTAAACTGCTTTTCCTCGTAGAACGCGCGAGGTATGTGTAATACGATCGTGGAGAAAAGCAACGTCGAGGACTCGAATTGCGACTCGCGGATTGGAAAGTCGATGGAGATTATACGAGAAAGAGATCCGTGTTCGATCGGCCGAATAGGTGAAAAATTAAAATTGACGCTATTTGCGTAGTTATCGAGGCATCTCGAGTCAGCCAAGTCACGTGGCTTTTTTCTTGCCAAAAAGTTAAGTTACATGCCTCCGTGGCGACTGTCATCGTCGATATTAGCCGGCAAAGTCACCTCGCGAGTTTTCGATGCGACCCACACCGTACACGCGCCGAAGAGATTTTCCACGTGTCACTGGGTCAGTGCACTTGCTGTCCTGCGCGAGAACGTGAATACAGATCGCTCTCTAAATATCAGAGTACCGCGAACCTCCGTATTCGCCCGCGGTCTCTAAAGTTCATCCAGGAACGTACGTCTTAACGAAAATACTCGGTGAAGATCGTTGAAAGCATTTTGAAGAAAAAGGTCGATAGTTTTCAATCGAACGATCTAAATAATTTAGACTATTGGTTACAATTACAATGAATCCGTTTTCTGACGAACTGTCGTTCCGACGAACGAAATATACAAATACGATTTAACCAGCGAGTATCGTGGCTTAATGACATAATGTATAATTGACTGTGTAAATACTCTCGGAATCTCTGCGAAGTATGGATATACTTGCGATAAATATCTTGCAACTTCTCTATACATTTTCAGTGTTTGTTTTAAAGACGCACCAATACAATCGTGACGATCGTATCTCATTACAGCATTAACGCAAAATGTTATATTATGTAACATTTATACGGTGTACTAAGTACTAAGTTTTCACAATGTGTATGTTTACAGTACATAAATGTTTTATAACTTGCATATACGTTTCCAGATTGGTTTCAAATTCTGCTGCTATCATCACGATACATAATCAGCTTCGATCGTATACGAGTAGCAATGAAATTTCAAAAAATTTTGTCCAACACACGCAACATATTCGTAAAAATATTTCCTTCTTTCAGTCACTGTATGTACTCGTACATTTAATTGTCTCGGCGTATTCGTCGGAACG